AGAAATATTTAGCTTTTATAATTTTATTTAGAATTTCTAAAATTAAAAATAAAGAATAGTAATTTTTAACTAAAATCTTATTAAGTTTTTTATAATTTATATATAATCGGAGATCTTTATTTTTCTTTAATATAAAAAGAATAGAAGCTTCTATAGAACTTTTAAAAATTAAATTTATTTTAATTAAATATTTTTATTAATATAATAATAAAGAGATTAGAACTTAACTTAAAATAAAAAATAAATAAATTTATATAATAAAATTTTATTATTTTTTAAATTAATAGTATAATCCAAGAATCCGTAAGAAAAAAATTATTAAAAATAATTAAAAAAAATATATCTATAAAATCTTAGAGCTTAGAAAATAATATAATCTTATTAAATCTAATTTATAAATAATTTAAAAAAACTTTATTTTTTAATAGTTAGATATTTTCTAGAAGTTTAATAATAATATAAATATAAATAAGATTTTAGCAAGCTTTTATAAATTTATAAAAAAAATAAAATTTTTAATATTTAAATCTTATATTACTACTGTCGATTTTATATAGATAAATAAATATATAGATTTTTTAAAATAATTATTAAAAGTAGAATAGGACTTTTAAAAAGATTTAGATTATAATTAATAGTTATATAATATTTTATAAATAATTATATAATTCTTCTTAAATTAGTAGTAGTAATAGAGATTTTTTATATATTATAAATATTTATAGTAAAATAATTAATTATAATAACTAATAAAACTATAAAACAGGCTGTATTTAGATAAAATTATTAAATAAATTAATAGCTAATAAAATTAATTTTAATATATAAATCCAAGTCTGTATAGGTTTCGAGTATATTTTTAAAGTAAATAAATATTTTTAAATAAATAGTAGTTTTTACTTTAAATTAGTTTATTAAAAATATAAGAATTTTTTTAACTAATATTTTTTTTATTAGTTTTAATTTAATTTTATTTTTATTTTTATAAGAGTATCAGTTGGCTAAATAATATTTATTATTATATTTATAATAGTAAAGAGTTTTTTTTCTTTAATTTTTCTTATTTTAAAAAAATTAAAATAAAAAAAACTTATTATTAGACTATAAAAATCCGGATTTTCTGAAAGTCTTATTTAAATAGTATTTTCGGCTTTTTAAATCTTGTTTTTTCTTTTAGTTTAATATATTTTAATAATAAATAGTAATAAATACTATTTTTTCTTAAAAGTCTAATAATTTTAATATATATTTATAGATATATTAACTAAGTTTTAGTATTAGCTTTAAAAAAAAGATTAATATATATTTATTATTTTATTTAGATTCGAAGTAATATTCTAAAATATTTAAATAAAAATAAAACTTTTTTAAATTTTAATTAATTTATTAATAATCCTGTTCAAGCTGCTTTATAATATTAGATTATAAAATAACTATATTTTAAATAAAAGAAAAAGTTTATAAAATAAAGTAATTTTATAATTTTTTAGTATTTCGGCGGTCTTCTGGGGATTTTTTATTAATATATTAATATTATTTCTATTAATAAATAGAGTCTAAATAGCTAATTATAATTAGAATCTTTTAATTTTTTATTTAATACTTCTAAGAGATTTTTTTAAAAATATATAATAAATTATAAATTTATTTTATTCTCTATTATAAACTAAACCGAAGAAAAAAAATAGGGATTTTTTTAAATTTAATTTTTTTTATTTAGAAGATAAGATTGACTTAGTATAATATTATTATAATTCTATTAAAAATTTAATATTTTTATATTTTATTTGTAATATTTAAACCTGTTTTTTTAATTATTTTAACTATTTTAATTAATAAATAATAGCTTGTACTTCTTAAATATCTATTTAGATTAGATAATATAATTTAAAAGCAGACGAAGTTTTTAAAATAATTCTAATAAAGATTTATTAGATAATATATTACTTTTTTTCAAATAATTAAAAAAAAAGAATTAGAAATTATTAGAAATTACTTAACACAGTAAATATACTAGTTAAATAAAATAAATAAGATAGTTAAAAATAATTTTCTATTAATTTTAAAACTAATTTTTAAGAAATCTCTTCTTCTAAAGAATCTCAAAATAATATATTATATAAAAAAAAGAAATAATCAATATAATAATATAGATATCTGGATTAAAATTCTAATAAATTTATATCAACCCCGAAGCGGCTGCCATAATGGTAGATATGGGCTGCTGTAGTGGTAGATATTGTATAACAATACTAATTCTTAAATAATATAAATAAAAAAAATTTTAAATATAATAAATATATTAATTAAATAACAGTAAGTAATTATTAGTATTATATAAAAAAATAATAAAAATAAGAATTTTAAGAAAATAAATTAACAAACAGATACTAAATAAATAATAAAAATAAAAATAAAAATAACAAGAAAAAGAAATATAAAAAAAATGATTTAATAAAAAATTAAGATATAAAAATAAATAAAAATATATTAATTTTTTTTATTTATATATATATTTTATATTAGATTTTAATTAGATTATTAATAAAATATATACTTTATTTACTATTCTAAAATCTTTTATTTATAAAATATATAGTTTATTAAATAATTCTTCTACTATTACAGCACCGAACTTTATTATTTAAAAAATATTATTAATAAAAATATTTAATTAAAATAAATAGTAAAACTATTTATAGTTATACTATTATATTAAATAATCCAGTTTAGCAGAAAAATATAATTATTATATAATACTTACTATTATAGTAGTTTATATCTATTATTATAATAACTACTTTAAAATTAATATAGATTTATTAGAATTTTAATTTATATATTTATATTATTATATTATTTATTTCTTCTTTTTATATAATATATTATTCTGAGATTTTTTAGAGAAGAATATTTCTTAAGAATTAGTCTTAAAATTAATAAAAGATTATTTTTAATTATCTTACTTATCTTGTCTAACCAGCGTGTCTACTACGTCAAGTAGTTCCTAATAATTATATTATTTAATTTATATATAAAAGCTGTCTTATACTTTATTTAAATTATTATGATTTTATGTTATTAATAATATAATAATTTAGATTTTTATATTCAGATTTTATTTAATCTTTTAATTAATAATTATTTTATTTATATTTTATTTTTTAATATTACAGCTATACGGCAGACTATAGATTTATTTTTATATTATAAAAAAATTAATATTATAAAATCTTGGTTATATTTTTACTAGCTATATTAATATTATAATTTATATGAAAGTTTTTAAATAATATAATACTATTCATTATAAAATATAATAATAAATTAAATAGAATATTTTTTATATTATTTTTATTAATTCCGACTTCTGCTTTTTAAATAAATATAAAATATTAAATTAATAATATATATAAAATTTATTTTATTATTAAAAAATTCCGCCAATATACTGGTAAGAATTATTAGATAAATAAAATCTATACTATTATTATAAGAAATATTAATTTTAAAATCTTTATTATTTTTATTATTATATTTAATTAAATATTATATAATCTAAAAATTATTATAATTTTTTTAATATTAAATTATATAAATTAATATATATTAAAGTATTGAAGGGTTTTTTAAAATATATATATAATATATTTATCAAATTATTATATTATTGAAATAAATATTATATAAGTCATATAATATATTTTATTATTTTTTTATTATAAATAGCTTTGAATATTTTTATATAAACTATTTTATATTTATTAAAAAAGATCTTTATATATCTATTTATGTTAATAATATTCTATTCTTAGTACTAGATATTTTTATAATTAATATTTTTAAAAATCTACTGAATAGTTTTATTAAATTTATTAATAATAATTTTTATACTTATTTTTTAATATTAATATTATGTAAACTAATAATAATAGATATTTCTTATAAAAGTTATATATTAAAAATTATTTAAAATATCTTAATATACTAATATATAGTCTTTTATATACTATTTAACTATAAAATTTTTTATAATATTTAAAAACTGTTTCACTAGATAATATTAAATTATACTAAAAATATAATAATATTTTAATATAAATTATATTTAATATATATTTTAATATTATATATATAACTAGTAAGTTATTATTTTTTATAATTAATTCTAATAAATTTTATATCTGAATAATAAATCTTATTTAATATTATCTTATAGGCTTATTAAACTATTATTGATTTTATAAATATAAAGATTTTAGTTTTATTAATTATTATAATATTAACTAAACTAGTTTTTATATTTTTAATATTATATTAACGTCTAGTTATATCTTTTAGTTTACTAATAGATTTATTTTCTAAAATTTAAAAAAATAAACCGGTAATATATTATTTTTTATTAAAAATAAATATATTATTCAAATTATCATAATCTAAAAACTTTTTTAGCTTTAACTTCTATTTTTAAACTAAATATTTAATATTTTAAGATTATATTTATATTAATAACTAAGTCTATTATAATTTATATTAATAATTAATCTACTATTATTCTAGTTAAAAATTTCAAATTTTATATAAGAATTAAATATATATCTATTAATTAGTATTTTACATAATATAAAATATATATTAAAAATATTAAATTTATTTATATTAATATATTAAATTAAAAAATTAACAGTTTTATAAAGCCTTTTAAATATTTTATTTATTTTTATTTTATTAAATAGTTTAATATAGTAGATCTTATTTAATATTTTCATATTTATATTTTATATATTTTTTATTTTAGAAATATAAGTACCTTTATATTTTTTTATATATAACTTAGTAGCAATCTTTTTGTTTATAAAAAATATAACAGATATCTAAAATTATATAATTTTAGATTTTACTATTTTTTAAAGATCCAGTCATATTGCTGTAGTTATCTTAATTAATCCATATATATTTCCTCTCACAGTGTACTATACACGTATGACGTAGTGTAACTATTCCAGTTACAAGAATGAACGAGGGCTCTTTGGCCCGCCCCCACGTGATCTGTAGTGCTGGGTTCGAGGTGAGTCGCCGGCCCAGCCTACGGCATGGGGCTTCGGCGACAGAAGAATGGCTGCGGATCTGCCGCAGCAGCAGAATAAGACGGTGAAAAGGGTTAAAAACAGAAGAGGCCAAGTGGAAGTAGTCATTCTTTACCTAGTCACTGCCCCGATAAGTCAGGGGTACCACTGGTCACTCCACGGTGTTAAGCCCTCTTCAGTAGGCGGTATGGTTGGTTAGCTTTCTAGTCTAATAGGAATACTGGTGGTATTGGAATGACGGCTGGTGTCAATAGTGACTATTACACACGCAGCAAATGTTAATACAAGATCAGTTATCATCTCACCTTACCAACGGCTTAATAAGTAAGGGAACGCGTTAAGTTAAAGACACCTCACCTCGTAAGATTCCAAAACCACCTGGCTAAGGCTTTAAATAGCTTAGACTATCTTGGCAGTATTTAAATAAAGCTTTTTAACACTGCTGTGTAGTACTCCGTATATGTTATCTATATCTATATTAGTACAAGTATATTAGTATTCTTGGGATTTTTCTCAGACCGAATGTATTGCGATCAGGGTCTTTATCGGAGAATATCTTCTATTATCTTTTTAGTAAGATTTCTTAGAGTCGAGATAAGTGCTGTAGTTTAAAAAAGTTATTAACTAGTAGCTGCTCGAATAGAAATATAGCATTGCTTATACAATAGATACTTCTGAAGTATTCCCCTATCTTACCGCTTTATGGGCAAAGGCAAGGACGGTGGCTTTGGAATCTCACGAGGTGTCTTTAGCGCGTTTCTTAATTTATTTCCCCTTAGTAAGGTAGTGCTAAGTAAGTAAATTAGTGGCTAATACCATACCCAATCAATACACAGCAGATCCCTGTACAGTGGCAGAATCCGCGCTCAAGTCAGGGCTACTTTTTTCTCAGCCACAATCACGCTACACGCTTCTCTTCGCTCAATCCTCACCTTGACATTGCTCAGGATCACCTTCACTACTTCTACCGAGGAAGAGCTCTGAGACTAATCTTCTACTATCTCCGGTCGTAGGGGGCTTCTTATCTGACACACTGCACAATCATCCGGCCCCTGGTTCTGTCTCACAACTGCTAGCACGACGCAGCCATGGGCTTTCTCGCGGTCTTACTCGATACCATATGCAAACATTGCACAGAGTCTTCGAGCCTGGTCATCTTGGGAACAACACTGCTAGTCCTACTTGCTGTATCTATCCTGCTCAATCTCTTGGGCCAATTGCTTTTCAAGAATCCGAAAGAACCACCTTTAGTGTTTCATTGGGTGCCCTTTATTGGCAGTACAATCAGCTATGGCATGGATCCATACAAATTTTTCTTCAAGTGCCGTGAGAAGGTATTTTCATAGGTCTTGGTCTTCTGGGTAGTTCATTTGCTAACTCGCCATCAGTATGGTGACATATTCACTTTTGTTCTTCTTGGCAAAAAGACGACTGTCTACCTTGGGACTAAGGGTAATGACTTCATTCTCAATGGCAAGTTAAGGGATGTTTGTGCCGAAGAGGTTTATTCGCCCCTTACTACCCCTGTCTTTGGGAGCAATGTTGTGTATGACTGCCCAAATGCCAAATTAATGGAGCAGAAGAAGGTAATCAGACACATCCAGATGAAGACTGTTCTGCCGCTGACAATACGGAAAATAGTTCGTCAAATTCGGCCTCACCTCCGACGCCTTACGCTCCTATGTGCGTCTGATAACCGATGAAGTGGAGGATTTTGTCCAGAATTCCCCGGCTTTCCAGGGTGCTAGCGGTGTCTTTGACGTGTGCAAAATAGTTGCTGAAATCACCATCTATACAGCCTCACGCTCTCTTCAAGGCAAGGAAGTTCGAAGTAGATTTGATTCCACCTTTGCTGAGCTATATCATGATCTCGACATGGGATTTGCGCCAATCAATTTCATGTTACCCTGGGCTCCTCTTCCCCATAACCGGAAACGCGATGCCGCACAGAGGAAAATGACAGAAACATACATGGAAATCATCAAGGCCCGTCGCAATGCTGGAACTGAGAAAGACTCCGAAGACATGGTATGGAACCTGATGTCTTGCGTGTATAAAGATGGCACTCAGGTTCCCGACGAGGAAGTAGCGCACATGATGATTGCTCTTCTCATGGCTGGTCAGCATTCGTCAGCTTCTACGGCTTCCTGGATTGTCCTACACCTTGCAGCACATCCGGGAATCATGGATGAGCTCTTTGCTGAACAACTCCGTGTCCTCGGCCCTGATTTGCCGCCTCTTACATACGAAGGCCTGCAGAAGTTGAATCTTCATGCGAGTGTTATCAAGGAAACATTGCGTATACATGCGCCTATCCATTCAATCATACGTGCGGTGAAGAACCCGATGCCTGTGGACGGAACACCATACGTGATTCCTACATCCCATAATGTTCTCTCATCACCTGGTGTGACGGCAAGGTCTGAGGAGTATTTCGTCAACCCGCTAAAGTGGGATCCTCACCGCTGGGATGAGGACCTTGCGTCTAATGCAGAAGATGAAGAGAAAATTGACTATGGGTATGGTCTTGTTAGCAAGGGCACAAACAGTCCTTACCTTCCATTTGGCGCTGGAAGGCACAGGTGTATTGGTGAACAATTTGCCTATGTACAACTTGGTGCCATAACAGCGGCTTTGGTAAGGTTGTTCAAGTTCCGCAATTTGCCCAATGTAAAGAGTATCCCTGAAACAGACTATTCAGTAAGTCTTCTTATACCCGGACATATACTTTCTATTTTACTTACTGGGCCTAGTCACTTTTCTCGAAACCCGCTGGAAAATCGTTTATACATTTCGAAAAGCGTGCTCCTGCGAAGAATTGATATTACTGCTACTCTTATGCCTCAAAACAAATGATAGCGGATAATAGTAGATGTATTTTCTTATTACCTTATTAATAATTATGCAGAACTAATAGAAGACTCTATCTAATATTCATTGGTTATTTATCGTGAAATAAGAAACAATCACCGGGCCCGCTGTTAACTGCGGCTAGGAAGCTAATATACATATCCTACGAGTCAGAAACACCTTCAAACGTATTGACTACTTGGGCCAAAGCATTGGTTTTTCTGTTCAGTCCATCGTGTACAAGATAGCACGAGTATGATTTATAAAAATAGTGCAATAGCAGTATAACATGAATGCCTATAGTACATGCAGCAAACTTCGGCGCAAGGTTGTAGAAAAACAGGAGGAACAGGCGTACCACAAGCTAATGTGGACTTATTCAAGAATTTCTGGGTTTTTAGATAGTCCCTTTCCGCCTCTCTTCGCTCCTCCGTTTCGCTCTGACTTCCGCACGCCTTCTTTCACCACCATCCACCTTGACTCCAAGTCGATCCTCCCACATACCTTCCTTCAACTCGAATAAAGCTGCGCTGCCTTTGGTGCCCTTGATCGGCTGTAGGAAAGGGCCCATTATAGTGTTGCCGTGGTGAACTTTCATATATGCGATCTTTTTCGGTGGCTGAGATTGGTTGTGGATATATTCTTTGGCATCTGGTGGCAGGTTGACAACAATCTTCCTCATGCCTGGAGAGGAATTGGCTGCATAATCTGAGAGTCTTGCGGATGTGTGGCTTTCGGCGACATCCTTTGGCTCCTTCGGGACTTCAACCACCCGCAATTGTGCTGTACCATTGACAACGTGCTGCAAGTCACCACCGGGACCGAAAATTCCTCGTCTAAATTTCTCCCTTTTGCGGAGCAAATACCGCCGCTGGCTTGCAGGTTCAATACCCAACTCTTTAAGCTCTTGTGAACTAATGGAAAACAGTTTGTCCCAAGATGGCAGCTTGCTGGTGTGTTTATTCATGCCACGGCCAATTAGTGTAAGGAAAGTCTGGACATCTGGGACAAATGGTGTTGGCGATGGTATTGCAACAGAAGGCACTTGTTTGTGAAGGTGCCGGAAGCATTGCTTTCCGATGGTAATAGGTCGCATTGCTCGCAAGGAGAAAAGACATGGACTGTGCATCGTCATTGTAGCTGGGCCGATCACTCAGTCCGGTCAGGATATTATGTCGTAAACTTGAGAAGGGTAATGATAGGCGATAATCTGAAAATATAACTGAGCTGAGAGATCAAGGTGTTTTATTGAAACTCTAGTCCTTTCTGAAGACTTGCTTGGGTGTTGGTTCTTTTCTCCGGGTCGGGGATAATGAGGAGAAATTTTGGCGGCGTCAGTTCCAGCCAGGATCAACATAACTCCGAAACTGCCTTCCTGGAGATCTAGCTCGAGATGCCAGGTCCACTGTCATTCAAGAACATTAAATCCCTTGACTTGTGTCCAGTCATCTATCTAGTCAATCTTGACAACAATATAGAATTTGGTGGGATGTTCTACTAATTCTTTCTTAGAGACAATCGGACGTTGCTACATTGTAGTAACAATGGCTGTTTCTCCTTTGATCCCGAACCCTGCTTCGCATGCAGCCAAAACCACTGATGCGACAAGAGAGTCAGAGGTAAATGGCTCTGAACGCTCACCATACAAGCACAATATGAAATATTCCTCTCATGTTACCAACGAGCGTGAGATTACCGAGCAATTGAACGATGATGTAAGACACAAGTATATTAAAGGTATGATTTTGTACCTCATTCTCTTGAATGGTTCTATGCATCCTCCCTTGTTGCTTGCATTACTACCTTGTCGCTGTACTTGGCGGTTAATGATGAGCATGGTTGTTTCATAGATAAAAGGCTCGGTGAAGGTACCTATGCTGTTGTTTTCCTCGGTCACCTTCGAACAGATCCGTCTTCGTTCGTCGCCATCAAAAAAATAAAGATCAATGCAGAATATAAAGATGGACTTTCCATGGACGCCATTCGAGAAGTAAAATACCTGCAAGAGCTTTCACATCCCAACATAATAGCGCTTCACGATGTCTTCTCATCAAAGGATCAAAATCTCAATCTAGTTCTCGAATATCTACCGCGGGGCGATCTCGAGATGCTGATTAAGGATACAAATATTCACTATGGCGTCGCTGATATTAAGGCTTGGATGGGAATGCTCGCCAGAGGGGTCTGGTTCTGTCACGAGAATTTCATATTGCATCGGGATATCAAGCCTAATAACCTCCTCATTGCGGCAGATGGGGAAGTGAAACTCGCGGACTTTGGTTTAGCTAGGTCGTTTGCTGATCCCTACTTGAATATGACCCATCAGGTCATTACACGCTGGTATCGTCCCCCAGAGCTGCTCTTTGGTGCCAGACAGTACTCGGGGGTTGTCGATATCTGGTCCATGGGCATGGTTTTCGCGGAACTCCTCCTGCGAGTTCCGTTCGTTGCAGGAAATACCGATCTCGATCAAATTACGAAGATATGTGAAGCTTTCGGGACCCCGAATGAGGACAATTGGCCCGGTGTAACCAAACTACCTAATTATCTGCCCGCTGATCCCAACCATGTCGTTCCTCTTCAGGGCCGAGATTTTTTCCTCAGGCAATTTCCGACAGCTGGTCCTGTCGGCGCAGATTTGCTGATGTCCATGTGCACCTTTGATCCTAAGAAGCGAAGCACAGCTTGTAGGGTTTTGCAACACGGCTGGTGGACTACTGAGCCTACACCAACCGACAAGAAAAACCTTCCTCGCAAGATCGATGGCGTTAAGAAAATGGGCGCAGACCTGACCAGGCGAGGGGGGGAAATCGAAGATTCAACATTCAAGAATGCGGCTCGACAGCTAAATTTCACTGCGGCCAGAGACTAGCTTACGATTACCGGAACAGACTCGATGATTCGAGGTCATTCCAGGCAAATTTTGAGGAAAGGCATCTACTGCAACGCGCGAGGTCATTTGTCTATCAGTGGGCTAAATTACTCAAAGGTCTATCTACTACAGAAAGCCCAATTTCAGGGGCACACAGTCATGCAGCAGATATAGATTCTAATGCTGTTATCTGGTATTCCGACCACTGGTAAAGGGCATGGAGGGAATTGATAGCGCCAGGATAACAATGAGCTTGTGTTCCTTCCTTCCCCCCCGACAGAGTCGGTGTTTTATAGCTCTCCCATATAATACCACCTGAATCTGGGCTAGCGATTGAGAGGATCTCCATTCGCTGTCAGTCGTGATATCGTCACCAAGTAGCAAAAAAATAAGCCTAAGACAGCGTCCAGCAGCGTTCGATATCGATCTCTGCTGACTACGGATTCTTTCTTCTGTACCTTTTGATTAGATGTTCGCTATGCCGTGGGTAGCGTGGTTTCATTTTTCAAGTCTACGCCTCGTATGGCATCAAAATCCATGCGTGGAGGGTCGCACGTCGCCAGGTGGCCAGGTGGCTTAAAAAGCCCAGTAAGTTACTGGTAATTACTAGAATTATCTAGAAAAAGCCTATATTTTAAAATATACTATAAATAATATAATCTTGCCAGGTAATAAATCTGGTAAGATCCATATATTACTAAATTTCATATTTAAAAAATCTTAGTATTACTAGTAATAATTAATAATTTCTAGAAGCCACCCACCTGGCGAGCTCAGAGATAAAATATACTAAATATTACTATAAAAATAAATTACTAAAAATACTTGAAATTACTAGAGATAATAGAATTTATCAGAAATAATAGATATAACTAGAAATTATATAAAAGTTTATATATAGATTATATAAAAATCTATCAAAAAAATTCAGAAATAATCAGAAAAAATTAGAAATAATCGGAAAGCATATGTCACAGGTAACCCGTAATATTATAGTAAGCTATCTACAAGTTCCTACTGTCTTTTCTATATTATAGTTATAATATTAATAATTTTAATTTTCATTATATACTTAACTCTTTTTTTTACTAGATTATAAAAGAATAAGAATTAATTTTAAATTTACTAGATTATTATTATCTTATATTTAACTAATCTCTTTTTTTAATAATTTTAATTTTTTTTATTATTTATAAAATATAATATATTATTTTAATAATTATATTAAAATAGTAATTTAAAATTAAAAAGTTTTTTTATTTTCTAAAAAAATTTATTATTAATATTTTTAGATTTTTTTTTAAAAAATCTTATTATAATCAGAAATACTATTAGCTATTTATAAAATTACTGATATTTATAATATTAAGCTATTGAATTATAAAAAATAAATAAAATAATATTAAATTAATATTAAATTATTAATAAAAATCTTTATTCTCTTTATATAATATTAAAATAAATATTAAACTGTTATACAATACCTACTACTATAGTAGTCTATATCTACTATTATAACAGTCTGCTTCGGGGTTAATACAGATTTATTAGATTTTTTATCTAATTATTTATATTATTATATTACTTATTTCTTTTTTTTATATAATATATTATTTTAAGATTTTTTAAAAATTAGTTTTAAAATTAATAAAAAACTATTTTTAATTATTATATTTATTTTATCTAACCAGCATATCTACTATATTAAATATTTTTAATAATTTTTAATTTTTTTTATTTTTAATTATTTAAAAAAAGTAATATATTATTTAATAAATTTTTATTAAAATTATTTTAAAATACTTTATTTGTCTTTAAAATATATTATTTAATCTAAATAAATATTTAAAAAGTATAAGCTATTATTTATTAATTAAAATAATTAAAATAATTAAAAAAATAGATTTAAGTATTATAAACAGAATATAAAAATATTAAATTTTTAATAAAATTATAATAATATTATACCAGTTTAACTCTATCTTCTAAATATAAAAAAAAGAAAAATTAAATTTAAAAAAATCTTTATTTTTTTTAGTATAGTTTATAATAGAGAACAGAGTAGATTTATAATTTATAATATATTTTTTAAAATTTTTTTTAAAATATTATATAGAAGATTAAAAAGTTCTAGTTATAGTTAACTATTTAGACTTTATTTATTAATAGAAATAGTACTAATATATTAATAAAAAATTTCCAGAAGACTGCTGAAATACTAAAAAATTATAAGATTATTTTATCTAATAGATTTTTTTTATTTAAATTATAGTTATTTTATAGTCTAATATTATAAAGCAGCTTAAACAGACTTATTAATAAAATAATTAAAATTTAAAAAAGTTTTATTTTTGTTTAGATATTTTAAAATATTATTTTAAATTTAAATAAAATAATAAATATATATTAATCTTTTTCTTAAAGCTAGTATCAAAATTTAGTTAATATATTTATAAATATATACTAAAATTATTAGATTTTCGAAAAAAATAATATTTATTATTATTTATTATTAGAATATATTAAACTAAAAAAAATAAACTCTAAAAAAATAAAAATACTATTTAAATAAAACTTTTAGAGAATCTGGATTTTTATAATCTAATAATAAGCTTTTTTTATTAAAATCTTCTTAAAATAGAAGAAATTAAAAAGAAAATCTTTTTTATTATTATAAATATAATAATAAATATTATTTATTTAGTTAATATTTTTATAAAAATAAAAATAAAATTAAATTAGAATTAATAAAAAAAATAATAATTAAAAAAGTCTTTATATTTTTAATAAACTAGTCTAAAATAGAAACTATTATTTATTTTAATATATTTATTTATTTTAAAAATATACTTAAAATCTATATAAACTTGGATTTATATATTAAAACTAATCTTATTAATTACTAATTTATTTAATAATTTTATTTAAATATAGTCTCTTTTATAGTTTTATTAATTATTATAATTAATTATTTTATTATAAATATTTATAATATATAAAAAATTCTTATTACTACTATTAAGTTAAGAAGAATTATATAATTATTTATAAAATATTATATAATTATTAACTATAATCTAGATCTTTCTAAAAGTTCTATTTTATTTTTAATAACTATTTTAAAAAATTTATATATTTATTTATTTATATAAAATTAACAGTAGTAGTATAAAACTTAATTATTAAAAATTTTAGTTTTTTATAAATTTATAAGAATTTATTAAAATCTTATTTATATTTATACTGTAATTAAACTTTTAAAGAATATTTAGTTATTAAAAAATAAAGTTTTTTTTAAATTACTTATAAATTAGATTTAATAAAATTATATTATTTTTTAAATTCTAAGATTTTATAGATATATTTTTTTAGTTATTTTTAATAATTTTTTTATAGATTCTCGGACTATACTATTAATCTAAAAGATAATAAAATTCTATTATATAAATCTATTTATTTTTCATTTTAAATTAAGCTTTAATCTCTTTATTATTATATTAATAAAAATATTTAATTAGAATAAATTTAATCTTTTAAAAGTTTTGCAGAAGCTTTTATTATTTTTATATTAAAAAAAATAAAGATTTTTAATTATAAATAGATTATAAAAAACTTAATAAGATTTTAATTAAAAATTACTATTTTTTATTTCTAATTTTAGAAATTCTAAACAAAATTGTAGAAGCTAAATATTTTTTAAAATTAGATATTTAAAATATATATTACCAAATTTGTATTAAATAAAGAAATAAATAGAAAATAGTTTTTAAAATTTATTATAAATATTTTAAATATCGAGTTATATTTTTTAAATTAATTAATACTTCAGCTATATTTTAAAACTATATTTATTTAGCTTTTTATAATATATTAGATATTTTTTATATTATTTATTTAGATAATTTTCTTATTTTTTTAAAAGAACTGTCTTTTTTATATCTTTTATTTATATTAAGTATTAGAATACTTATAAAAACAGATTTTTATATTAAATTATTAAAATATATTTTCTACTAAGATTATATTGAATCTTTAGAATATATTATATTTTTATATAAATAATACTAATTATATATTATAAAATCCGAGTATTATTAGGATTCTATAATTTTTATTAATATTTTATTAAAAATTATTTTTTAATTATAGTACTACTAACTTTCTTTTAAAAAATATTTAGAATAGAAAGAAGCCTGGAAGAATAATAATAATATTTTAACAACTTTTTTATAATTTTAAAACTATACTTTTATTAAAATATTATAATTTTTAATAAAAAATCTAAATAAAAATAAATACTTCTTAATAAAATATAGCAGAAATATTATTCTAACTAGATAATTATAAAATATACTATTTTATTATATTCTAATTAAAGAATTTTAATAGTATTAAAACTTATTATTTAATTCTAGATTAAGAACTTTTTACTATTATTTATTTATTTTAATATTAGTATTAATATCTTAAAAAACTATTATATACTATTAAAATTCTTTTAGATTATTAAAATTTTTAGATTTGTATAAAGCAGCTAAAACTGAATAGTTATTAAATTTAATAATATATATATTTTAGTAGTTATAATTCTATTATTTAATATTAGTTTAGTAAATATAATTTTACTAATCTATTATTAAAAATAAAAAAAAACTTAAAAGTTCTGTTTAATATAAAAATTCTAAAATTAATATAATATTAAATAGCTAGTAAATTCTTAATAAAATCTTAATTTAAATATAATAAAATATTTTTATAAAAAAGTTCTAAATTTAATATTTATATAATATTAAACTTTTAATAAGATTAAAAAAATTAAAAAGCTAGTATAAAAACAGCTAACTAGACTATTAAAATAAAAATATTTTATAATCTATATATTAATATATTAATAATATTCCGAATATATAAATATAAAAACTTATTATATTTTAAAATTATTAGAATAAGCTTATTTTATAATAAATATATTAATATATCAGCAGTATTCTAAGTATATAAAAATAAAGATTTATTTTATTTTAAAATTAATAAAAAATTGTATTTTCTAATTAAAAGAATCTAAAATAAAGATATAAAAATATATTACTAAAAACTTATTATTTTAAAAAATAATCTTAGGTTTAAATAAAAAAAATTAAATAATAATAATTTTATTATATATAAATACTATTTATATATTTTTATAAAAAAAATCTTTAGTAATATTTACTAAGTTTTTATAATAATAATTAGCTAGCAGATTATTTTAGATAATTAAAAATAAAATTTTTTTTAAAAGAAAGTTCTATTAGATAAATCTTTATAAAAATATACTTATTTATATT